ACAAACCAGAATATCTTGAGAGTTCTGAGCATCGGCGTGGGCTTTTAGTGATTCTGCCTTCGGCTAAAACCAATCCATGTTCTAGTGGACACAAAATGACAAAGCAGCGAAAATATCATAAATTTGTTCTTTTTAACCTGCAAAAAGCAGAAAACAGAAAATTCATCAAAGAAAGTCCGTGAGTGCATTTTTGAATCTCTATGTGGGTGACGGATGAGGCTAAATGAGAGAAAACATCAGTAGATGGACGGACTCCAGCAGCAGGTTGGAATGCTCATAAATTATTAAGCCTAATCGGCACCAGGAGCCAACCATGTGTGTGTGTTACTGAGAGGTCCAGTCTGACCTCTGGCTGCTCTCCTTCTCTCAGCAGGATGAAATCTGTTTTCCCTGAAGGCCTCCTGAACCACAAACACCTGGAAGTAACTTTATTGAGTGCAACAGCAGCAGCGTGTTACATCGCTGGTTTAACAGGAGATAAAGTCTCTGAGCAGGCTCTACCCTGCTGCTCCACAGGAGTGAAGCAGGACCATGTTGAATGTTCACAGGTCTGCTCAGCTCAAATCATACTTTCAGAGCTCGAGGTTTTATCAGGCAGTGATCAATGTAAGACTTCAGAGACAGAGCAAAAATGAACAGGAATGCCCAGGTTCAGTTCACATGAAGCAAAACTTATAAACATCCTAAAATCCTGGACTGCACACTGACTGGTAATAATAAAAAGAATCATGATTCAAGTGTCTTTAAAGGATTGGTTTACCAGCTCATCAAGTAAAGCTGTGGATGCTGATAGAAGCGATTATGATATCTCCTCAGAGCCAAACAGATCAATCAAACTAACTCTTATCCATCCAACTATCTACTTTCTTCTGCTTATTCGGGTTGGGGGTCATGGGGGTACCATCTAACTAGAAATGCCCAAATCTCCTGGTTCTGTTTCAGGGTGTTCTTTCAGTTGCACATGCCTGAAATGTTTTCATTATTATTGAATTTAAAATTTTGCTCCTCACATACAAGGTCTTAAATAATCAGGCCCCATCTTATCTTAATGACCTTATAGTACCATATCACCCCATTAGAGCACTTTGCTCTCACACTGCAGGCCTATTTGTTGTTCCTAGACGTGTTTAAAAGTAGAATGGGAGGCAGAAGCTGTCACAGTCTGGCGAGGGCAGACTGTATGAATTGAAAAAGGACCCAAAACGCAGACGCCAAGGAACCGGGAACAGAACTTGAAATGTTAACAAAAGGCGAGCCGTTTAATAAGGCTAGTAGAAGAGGTACAAACAAAGGGCAAGGCAAACTGAAGCAAAATTAACACAAACCTAAACTGGGGAATCTAAACAAGCAATAAGAAAAACCTAGGCAAGAAACTTGGAAGCATGGCATGGGAAACATGGCGTGGACAACAGACGACCTGACAATCACACACTGAAAACAGAGGACTTAAATACACAGGAGGTGATTAGGGGAAGTGGAGACACATGAGGAAACAGCTGGCACACATGAACATAATGACGTCACAGTGGGAGAGTAAAACTGAACATGATGAACACAGAACACCAGACCTCTTCACAATAAAACAGGAAACATAATGAGACAGACATGACAACCTGAACTTGACAACGTAAGACACAGACATGAAACGCATGAAGAGCAGGGGAGATTTAACATGGTTGGAAACACGAGGGGAAAATAATAACTAGAAACACTTAGGCATAATAATACAAACTTGATAACAAATAAACTTAGGAAACCTGATAAGCTTAAACATACACTATGAACATCAAAAGAACTGAAACTCAAAACACTGGGTCATAAGACCCAGGACCGTGACAGAGCCCCCCCTTCAAGGGCGGATTCCAGACGCCCGAAACCATGAAAAACAAAAACAAAAACAACCCACCAAGGGCGGGCGGTGGGGGTCCAGGACGGAGGGCCTGGAACAAAGCCACAAAAACAAAACGTCCATCAAAAGCACAGGAGTACAGGGAACAGTTCATAACTCCTCAGGGGGCCGACCCGGAGGGCGACGGCACAGGAGTCCATAGTCCAAAGGTTCAGGGGGCCGGCCATGTGGAAGGTGGCAGTGGCGAAGCAAGCATGGCTGGCCACACTCGGGTGGCTTGGCCCGTGGCCGGCGGCGACGTGGACAAGACCCGTCGGGTGGCTTGGCTGGCGGCCGGCGGCAGTGTGGACGTGGACAAGACCCGTCGGGTGGCTTGGCTGGCGGCCGGCGGTAGTGTGGACGTGGACGTGACCCCTCCGGTGGCTTGGCTGGCGGCCGGCGGTAGTGTGGACGTGGACGTGACCTGTCGGGTGGCTTGGCTGGCGAGACGAGCACAGGCGTGGCATCGACCACTGGCTGGGTCGTGGCAGGACCAGGCGAGGCAGGACCAGATAATGGCGCTGCAGGCGATGGCGTGGAGGGATGCTGGACTGGCTTGGCTGAACTTCCAGCTGGCGCAACAGGACCAGGCGAGGCTGAAGACTCTGAGGCTGGACCAGACGAGGCTGAAGGCCCTGAGGCTGGACCAGGCGAGGCTGAAGGCCCTGAGGCTGGACCAGGCGAGGCTGAAGCCCCTGAGGCTGGACCAGGCGAGGCTGAAGCCCCTGAGGCTGCGGCTGACGAAGCACAGGCTGGAGCTGCGGCTGACGAAGCACAGGCTGGAGCTGCGGCTGACGAAGCACAGGCTGGAGCTGCGGCTGACGAAGCACAGGCTGGAGCTGCGGCTGACGAAGCACAGACTGGAGCTGGTCCTGGCGTAGCAGAGGCAGAACCAGGTGACAGTGAGGCAGCCACAGGTGGTGAAGCAGAAGGTGGCCAGACGGGCTCCTCAGGCCCTCCAGGTGACGAAGCGTGAAGCTGAACGGGCTCCTTGGGCCCGCCAGCTGACGAAGCGTGAAGCTGGACGGGCTCCTCGGGCCCTCCAGCTGACGAAGCGTGAAGCTGGACGGGCTCCTCGGGCCCTCCAGCTGACGAAGCGTGAGGCTGGACGGGCTCCTCGGGCCCTCCAGCTGACGAAGCGTGAGGCTGGACGGGCTCCTTGGGCCCGCCAGCTGACGAGGCGTGAGGCTGGACGGGCTCCTCGGGCCCCCCAGCAGACACAGGAAAAGGCTGCACAAACTCCAACTTAGCCCCTGGCTCCAACCTGGCCTGGATCTCGGTCCCACAGTAGCTTAGCTGAGCCTCATGGCTAGCACTTCCAGTGCAAACAGTCTTATAATTTGGCTTCTTGGAAGCAAAGTTCATAGCATGATCAATACACTGGGATGCTAGGTAATTGTGCAGAGGGATAAGATATTCCGTGGAAGACTTGGCTGGTGATTTTTCAGTCTTAGTCGTTTCATAAACATGCCCATGAACCTTTAAGGCAGTGCTTGATCCAATATTGTCCTTAGAAAAAACGCGTGGATTCAGAATATAATCACCCACCTCATGTTGCTGTGAGCCGTGGTGATGACCTGGACGCCGCCTCCTCCTGGAAGCGGTGGTTGTGGAGGCCGGCGCCGCTACAGCTGAGATGAATGTAGCACTGGAAGCAGCCACCGGTTGAGGTGAGGGAAACGCAGCACTTGTCTGCTGCTGTGGCGACATGGACATGGAGACAGGTGAGAGACTGAATAAGCCGACTCTTACTCCTGTAGCCGGTGAAGGAAGAGCTGCATCACCGCAGGGCTGGTGTGATTCAGCCTGCACACTGGGCACCTGCTCAGACGATGATGGTGAGGCAGAGGAGTTCGTGGCTGTAGCAAACTTCTTTAAATCTGCAGGCAGGCAGTCCATAAAACCTGGGTTAGCCGTGGCTATCCGGGTCAACTGAGCCCGAATAGCCTCCTTCTCCTCCCCCTGCTTCCCTGCACAGGAGATAATCCAAAGTCCACGAAGCTGTGTAACACGAATCTTGAATTCAAAAAAGTCACTGAAATAAATGTCCGCTGGGTCCAGCATGGTCAGGTCGTTCTGTCACAGTCTGGCGAGGGCAGACTGTATGAATTGAAAAAGGACCCAAAACGCAGACGCCAAGGAACCGGGAACAGAACTTGAAATGTTAACAAAAGGTAAGCCGTTTAATAAGGCTAGTAGAAGAGGTACAAACAAAGGGCAAGGCAAACTGAAGCAAAATTAACACAAACCTAAACTGGGGAATCTAAACAAGCAATAAGAAAAACACACACTCAAAAAAATCTGTTGTTGGATGAACACAATTTAATCATGGCACCCTTTTTGCACACAATTTAACCAAGTACAATAAACCCTTTTGGATCATGTCAAACCAACACATTTAGCATTTGGTGGTTTAATGTAATCAGATTACGTTGGATCAACATACTATACTTACATTGATTTGAAGTGATTTATTTAAGTATGTAGAGTGAAATTTGTTTTAATTCATTCTACACAATTTAAAAAGTTTAGGAAAACAGAATTAAATCTTGTTGTTTCAACAACTACTTTGTTAATCAAGGCAATGATTTCACTCATTTCAACCAAATTATTTCAATTAGATTTGTTTACATTTGTTACACATTTAGAAACCCACTACTTTACAAAAAAAGTCACAATCAGATTATGATAACATTATCTTTATTAACTGGATTTAGTGGACAATATAAAAGCTTACCATTTTTGTACACCTGCAAGCATTATGCCACTTCAAAAGGTAAAATGTTAGAATACTTATTTACATAGGTAATATGTTGGAACCAAAGCTTCCACAACTAAAAACAGATGCAAAATTTGCTCAATATATCGACTGCATTTTAAAAAATTAAACTAAAAGATAAAAATACATCTCCCACTTGGCAAGTTAAAACATGTGACAAAATCGAATTGTGTGAATTTGGAAAAATAAAATAAAATAATTAGAAATATTTTGGGGGCAATACAACAACAACAAAAAATTCCATATGTGATGAAAATCTATATTTGTTTGGTGTATCTCATTGAAATAATTATTAGTTTGACCAATTTTTATATTTCTGTATTTATTTTTTAATTTTGGTTGCAGTCCTCCACAGCTAGCAATATAGTTTTGCTGTGTTTTAAAACATGCTAGCAAGCAAAATGGAAACAATAATACAGTGAACTTAACAGGTGGCAGTGGTCTTAAACTTTACAGGACCTTGATACATAAACACAACATAGTACTTCTGTCAGTACTTCTGATCCATTTTGAGCCATCTATATAAGGACAAACAAAAATCATCTGCAGTGCTGTATAAAAGGTGAATTGCCCAACAGAGAGAATCCAAAAACTTAAAAAAAAAATGTTTTAAATGAAAGAAAAAAATATAAACAACTCAAATATTAACATTATATATTGGAAATCACCATTGCACCAATGAACCATTCAAGACCTATCAGTCATTTTCAAGTGCTCTCACCCCATAAGCTTGTTTTTCAGAAACTGTACCTTTGAAGACAGCTTTTGTCCATCAAGATTTAAAAGTATCTTCTGGAGGACTTCAAAGGTGCATTTAAGTTCTGGTGGGTAGCTCAGGTTCAAACGGTATATGAGTCCAAACAACAGAGCACATGCTTGTGCAATGTTACCCAAATCAGTGTTAGCCTCCACACCCTCAATCACGACACCAACGTCCTCTGGGTCATCTTCAGGTTCAGCACCCTCCTTCTGGATGACGTACACCCCCATCACAGTTTGCTCCATGCAGCTTTTTGCCTCGCTGTCCGTATCCTACATGAAAAAGTATAAGACAACAAAGTAAAATTTAAGAGATTGTTTAAACAACTGTTTCTATGCTGTTCATAAAATCCAAGTAGTCAAAGTAATAAACAGAAAATTACACCACTAAAGTAGTTGTTAGTAATTACTCCAATACATAAATTATAAAATACACCTCTCATGTCAAAAGAGGTGGCATAATTGACCTCTCACCGGCCCCTCCCCCGAAAGGGCAATTGTCCAATTACACATTATAGCAACCGTTACTGTGTCTGACAAACATTAACCTCAAGCAAGATGGAGAAGCGGTGTGCCCACCGATACGCCGAGAGATTGTGTCTGGAGGAGTTGTGTTCTTTCCATTCACAAAGTCAAAAACAACGTGAATGGATTAAACAGTGTGTATGGCCCCATTCCCAGGTAAATGTACCGAACATTATGAAGCATGTCTGCTCGCACATTCGGGTACCCATTGGTGCGCAGAGGAAACCATTTGTTTGTCGGACGTAGCAAGAGTAACTTAGGGGGACAGGACTCGAGAAAAGGCTAACTCAGCTGCTAAAATAAAACAGGTATAGAAGTAGGGCTGCCACAAACGATTATTTTGATAGTCGACTAGTCAGCGATTACTTTTGCGATTAGTCGACTAATCAGATCATCATCCATTGAACATACAGCATACAGCTTATTGCACCAGCAGCATCTGCTCTTATATAACTATCATTAGCTTTCAGCTTTAAGTGTTTAAGGTCTGTGCTAACTAAAAATAAAGACAAGATGATAGTTTATTAAATTTTAATGACATTTGCAGATTGTTTCGGTGGAGTTTAATAAACTCCTTGCTATCTAAACTATAACAGGACACCGGAGTAAATTCTCCAGCATCTCACACTTCTGATAATCAGCTGTCTGCTTGACGTTTATTCAGCTGTGTAAAAACTATAACTTTAATCTCATCCAAACCGATTTACTCAGGAACAAATAAAACACTGAAAAAAGCCAAACAACATTTTGAAGTTATCTAAGTGACTTATATATCATGTTTAACCTGAGTAGTGAAAGACGGCGGTGGGTTTGAAAACGATCTGCCGGGAGTCCGGTGTTCTCACGGCTCTAGTTAGCCTAGCCCCTGGCTAGCTATCGAGCTAGTGGGTAACAGATGCCTCCGAAAACGTCGGAGCGCTTTTGAAAATATGTGGTGTCTTGATAAACTGAGCCGATATTTGAGGTTTACACAGCTACATTCTCGCCTGAAAATATGTTAAACGTTTATTTTGTGACCCAGAAAGAATAATAAGAATAATATTAAAACTAACCAGCTGCCGCCATTGTTGGAAACTAAGCAGGGCCGCGATGGGCCGCGCTATGAATTCTGGGACACAGTTTCTTCTTCTTCGGGGTTTAACGGCAGCTGGCATCCTTGGACATGCAGTGCTGCCATCTTCTGTTTCAGTCCATTATTACACTCTTAAATCCTACTGATTCCTGCGTCTTTTGTGATCTTACAAAGCTTCAAACGACGCGTCGACTATTAAATTAGTCGTCGACGATTTTGATAGTCGACGTAATCGTGACTAGTCGACTAATCGTGGCAGCCCTATATAGAAGTGTTAGTACTAAACAGCTCAAAGTTCATAGACATTTCTATTTACAAATACTGATGACCATAACAATGAAAAAACAACAGGACTTGTTTTAATCCAAGTACAGATTCAAAAGCAATATAGTCTTGATGCATGTTAAATGCATTGTATGTTTGTGTATCAAGTTTAAGTAGGCATAAATTTCTTTCCTTCCAATACCAAATTCCAGAAATTCTTTATTGCAACGCTTAATACTGTTTGGTATTCAAGACATCCTTTCCCCAATACCAGGTGTCTTGTTGCTAATCTCAAAATTTTAATTTTAATGATTTGCATTTGAGGCAACGTCACAATTTGTATGAGAATGTTACAGACAACATGCTGTCACAATGGCTCACCAAGTACTCCTTTATTAACTTCTCATAGTCTTCGTTTAGGTGGATGCACAAAGACTTCAAGATGCATGCTCGTCTGGTATGGATGTTGTCATGCTGGAGAGGAGGAGGAGATAATATGAGCCAAAACCAGTCTGTTTTTCTTAAAGCTAGGGTAATCAGTTAACTTGCATAATTATTCTTTAGGTTAGAACCTGGCATGTACCACTTGTTAAGCCGAAACAAAATTGACAACTTCATCTCCAAATAAAAGTTATTTTTGCTGCCTATGACAAAGTCTACTCAATCCTAATACAAACCTTGGAGATGGCAAGCATGAGACCTCTTATTTTCTTTCCACGTGTCCCTCCTTTGGTCAGAAAGATTTCCATTAAGCGTGCCGCGTATTGGTCAAGCTCGGCAAAGAAAGTAGATAGCAGAGGCTTTGTGGTGATTCGCAGAAACTCCTTCTCAATCTGCAATAGAGAACAAATACATTGATTAAAAACGCAACTGTATATTTCACTCACTTCACATCTAAGCTGACTAAAGCTGCTTTTAGAAGACCATGCAGACATCAGTGCTGTCTGTGTAGGACATGAATCAGTCTGTGTCAGATACTGAATTTGAAATTTCCACTAAAGTCACAAGTAAGAGGCAAGTGGAACCAAGATCTAGGCCATTTGCTTTTTGAAGTTTGGAAAGACTGCTAAACTGCACCAGTGGTAGTTCACTCTTTGCAACACAGTATGCTGTTCTAAACAGATTTTTAAGGTTTATTTTTAGTATATTATTTGCAATTGGTGTTTGTTCTGGGAAAGATATTGCAGACTGAGCAATAATCCATTTCTAATGGGGGCCTTTCTTAAAATGACTGGTCCCAGTAACAAAGGCGCTTGTCGACTCAGAAATCGAGGGAAAACCAACAACACACCCGGCAGAACATTATGTTATTTACACGGGTGCACATAAGTGGTCCGCATGTGCGCATTCGCTGTCAAAATAAAAGACGCGCAACAGATAAGAAGTTGCAACGCACGTTTGCATCCATATAAAAGGCACTGTTTTTGTCCGCTAGAGTGGGATTTTCACGGCACATTCTGCACCACATCTGTGTGTTCATCATTTGTTTGAAGCCAGCTCACCTCCTGCAATCACTTTTGCGAGAATACGCGCTTCTTTTGTGGTTCGGACTCCTTCTGACATTTCTTTGGAGGTGGAGGAAAACCAAAGTAATTGCTTAAAGGAGCTTCTTCGACATATTTAAGAGTTCTAAACAAATATGTCCTCATCCAGAAAATCTTATGTATGCAAACACGCGTTGCAACTTCTTATCTTGTGCGCGTTTTTTATTTTGACAGCAAATACGCACTTGCGGACCACTTATGTGCAGCCCCGGTTATATAGCTCGTCATGTTGCAGCCACAGAAATTCTTTTGTCCATGAAACCATAAAGCTGCACTTTCTTTTTGCCTTATAGTCTGATTTGTCATAACTTTTCCGTTTTGTGGTAAGCTTTTCTTTGGCTGTCACTTCTTCACCCTGACCTGTCTTATTTGGCTAAGCAGAACTACAATTAATATCCTGCTGCTTTTACACACGCACTCACATAACACTCAGCGATTGTCTGCGCGATCAACCTCTCACATGTTTAAGCTGCGGGAGATTTCACTTGTCATGTTTGCATAGTAAGCTAACGATTGATAAGACGATGTCAGAGGAATTGGTGCACAAATTATCATCACTCACAGATCAGTGCTGTCGCTCTCTATACACAGGTTGCGCGATTGCAAAGTGAAAGCAAAAAACAAGCGCAAATTCAAACGCGATTTCAATATGTCACATATTGACAGTGGCTCACCGATGCCAATGACATAATTACCCAGCTACATTTCCGAAAGAATGCAGAAGCATTGACATATATTTTTCCTTCTTATGACAGCCCGACGGGCAGGGCAGAGATAGATTTTGGTAGCCCGACTGGAAAAATCGCTAGCCCTGGGACGTCGGGCTAGCCATTTTGCGAGCCCTGTACAGTGTTTCAATAATTGTACCTACTACTCTCCCTGATGGAACAACGCTTGCACTGCCACATACAAGTCACTGAAAGAAAAAAAGAAAAGCAGTTTTAAGGATAGTTTTATTGGCACCTTTTTTTCCACTTTGATTAAATCATAAAACTATCATAATAAATATATGATGGTAAAAGGCTTACCATGTATTAAAGAGGAGGCACAAACAATCAGAAAAAGGGGTCAGCTTTCTTTGTGGTGTTACTATGGTAAAGAAAACAGAAAAAAATATTTTATAAAAATTCCACAGTGGATTTTTTTTACTTTGTTGCAAATGTATAAAAAAAATACAAATACATATAAATACCTCTTGCAATATAAAATTCACAGATAAATATCCAATCTGTTGCCAAATGTAATAGCAGTGTTTCACACTATGCAATAAAGATGCGGGTAGTTGCGGTAAAGGTCCGACAGGCAATTTTCATAACTATCCGCCATTGCCTTTTCCTCTGACCTCGTGTTTATGCTCTTTTTCCCATGCACTAGCATCAAGTCAATTCGAAGGATGCAGCCCCTGAATTTGGACACAGCTAATATTTAGCAAATCGCGCATGCTAGTTTAACTTGCATTACTGTGAGAGGCCGAATGCTTAAAATAAAAGGAGAGAGAAAGAAAGAAAGAAGAAAAAATGCAAATGATAATAAAAAAAGTGAACAAAGACCATGTCTTGCAATAACCGTCATTTAAAACCAAAGTGAATGCTAACAGAGCTAGGTAGAAGTTCAATGAGACAACCATACTAGCTTTAGCTAACTTCATTTACTTTGAAAGTGAATTACAAACGTGTTAAATATTGAATTAAACATATCAATAACCGCTAAAAACACTATAAGACTAACTGCAAAAACGGGTAAAAAAAAAAAAAAGAAAAACAATGAAGTGGAAATGCTAATAATAGTATAAATATACCCAGAGCGGATTATAAATCAGGTATTAGACGGTACCGATTGGCACCGTCTAATACCAGATTTTCACTGTATTTGCTCCACTCCCGCTGTCTAATGACAACTTACACATTTGGAATTAAAAACATTGTTAAACAATTAATGGACAAAACAACTTCGTTTGACTAAGATATTTTGAGTTATTTATTACTTACCTGTATTGTGGAAGATTCCGCAGAGGGAAATGGCAGTCCACTGAACACATATAACTTCTCCGCGTTCCCGCCTCTTCACTTTTGGGAAGTTTGAGCATGCGCACTAGGCATCGGTTTTAGAGTTGTTGATTTAAAATAATTACATTTAATTGAACTGAAGAATGCAAATCTAGTTCATTAAACTTTTTGTTATTTTATGTTAAACCAACAACTGATAATGATTTAAAAACCTAAACTCAATATGTTCATGTTAAATAGACAAATGTCTATTGAATTAATCAAACAACTGCCTTAGTTGACTTTTTTGAGTGTAGGCAAGAAACTTGGAAGCATGGCATGGGAAACATGGCGTGGACAACAGACGACCTGACAATCACACACTGAAAACAGAGGACTTAAATACACAGGAGGTGATTAGGGGAAGTGGAGACACATGAGGAAACAGCTGGCACACATGAACATAATGACGTCACAGTGGGAGAGTAAAACTGAACATGATGAACACAGAACACCAGACCTCTTCACAATAAAACAGGAAACATAATGAGACATAGACATGACAACCCGAACTTGACAACGTAAGACACAGACATGAAACGCATGAAGAGCAGGGGAGATTTAACATGGTTGGAAACACGAGGGGAAAATAATAACTAGAAACACTTAGGCATAATAATACAAACTTGATAACAAATAAACTTAGGAAACCTGATAAGCTTAAACATACACTATGAACATCAAAAGAACTGAAACTCAAAACACTGGGTCATAAGACCCAGGACCGTGACAGAAGCTTCAGTTTTCAGGCGCGTCTTCTGTGGAACCAGCTTTCAGTTCAGATTCAGGAGACAGACACTATCTCTACTTTTAAGATTAGGCTTCAAACTTTCCTTTTTGCTAAAGCATATAGTTAGGGTGGGATCAGGTGACCCTGAATCCTCCCTTAGTGCATCATGGGATTCCCCCAGCAGCCTCCACCTATTGTAGCATAACTGAGTGTTTTTTCTTCACTGTGTGTTTATACACCTCTCTGCATTTAATTATTAGTTATTACTAATCTCTGGCTCTCGTCCATAATGTTTCTTTCTGCCCCTCCCTGAGAGTGGCTCTACCAGAGGCTTCCTTCTGTTAAAAGGGAGTTTTTCCTTCCCACTGTCGCCAGGTGCTTGCTCATTGAGGGTTGCCTAAATGTTGAGGTTTTCTTTGTATTATTGTAGAGTTATTATCTTAACACATAAAATGCCTTCAGGTGACTGTTGTAGTGATTTGGCGCTTATTAAAAAATTGAATGAATTTAAATGAACTATGGGAGGATAAAGAAAAAAGCACCATGCCCACATGAGAAAACAAACAATACACAAGAGGAATTATTATGTACACTTTGTGGTTTGAAAAGGTGCCCTAAGGTCCATTAATTAACATTCTTCACAGATTCCTCCTGAAGTGGCAGAAATTGACTCTACTTCTTACTATAGCCCTCTTTCTTAGAGTCTATGATCCTGCGTTAGGATCTTAAAATGGCTTACATAGACAGAATCACGAGGCTTGAAGCTTTCAGGCAGCTCACTTGTCGAGTCTAGGTGATGATTCAGCCAAATGCCAGCCCGACAAAAGGCAAAATCACTAAACCCATCCTTAGGCCTGTTGTGTTATTCAATCCCACATTTTCATTTACGAAGCGAAAAGATGAATCCCACGCTTTCAAAAATCCTGACAAACTGTTGAGCAGCACAAGTGGATGTACAAACATAATGTCGAGGTGAGGATGGGAGGACGCGTGAAGGAAGCATCTATATGCAACTTACACCTCAGATAACAAACGAGCAGGGGAGGTGGTGTCAGATCCAAAATCAATGCTGGATTGTGTTTAGCACGAGCTGCTTGGTTGGCTAATGAGAGTCAAAAGCTTTGTCACTCAAAGGTCAGTCTCAGTGGAGCTCTGCACCAATCTGCCTCCAGGCTTTAATTGGGAGCAGTGGGGCGAGTGATGTATAACAGCAGCAGAGCTCCATCATCCGCAGCTGCACTAACTCCCATCCAGCTGTTTTACACCTTTATTTCTCCAGGGAGGCCTCCCGACCCGCAACCTGCTGAAACTCAAACAGCACAAGTCAAACCAACAGCTGCAGCTCAGAGTCTGGACTCTACTTTTGGTATTACATTTATTTTCTGTGCTTTGAGACTTTTAGGATCAGATTGAATGTTCTGTGTAAAACCCTCTTAGGCCTTAAAAAGCCCCTGTTTGATTTACCTAAAGAGAGAGGTAGTCTCAATTTTGCAACTCTAAGGCGTGGACACGGTTATTTTTGTGGCTGGTATTATTTTCATATTTACTTTTAGTAGTTTCCCCTTCAGAGTATTTAAATAAATGTGATTTGCTTTATAGCAGGCAAATTACTGCAAATTGTACTAAATTTAAAGCCAAGAAAAAGACACATCTCACTTTGCGCTCCATTGGTGTTTGTGATAGTTGTTGCTGATTGATTTTGAATGCCAGAGGAAGATGTTGTCAGAGTGAATGTGTGACTGGCACGGGTGGATGGCTCAAAGCTTTGGCTGTTTCTTCTACTTCTGTACCGAGTCCTCGCCCCAAACGTCTAAAGCTGAGTTTATCTGTACACCAATGATACTGCTATTTTGATGAAACCTAGCAGAACGTATCTAACTAGGATGCTTCCTGGACTGTCCCATTTGATGTGTTTAGGGCCTGTCCCACCCCTGACACTTCTGGGAAGACCTAGGACAGGCTGGAAAGAATATGTATATATTATATATTACAGGATATATTAAAGTTTCTCCTGATATTAATCCTGAAGCTTGAAGGTTGGTGAATGATCCATGCGACTCTCCAGTAAATTAGATGACCTTTTGCATCGGTTCTGTAATCCTGTAAAACTTGAGCTTTCAGTGGCTCCGAACCTGGAATAACTGAGCCATCGGACTTATTGCTTCACTCTGTACCCATTCAGATAAAATAAGACTAGTTTCACAATGATTGCTGGCTTAAGATGCAAAAATTGTGCTTCATGATGAATGAATAACTTGAAAGGATGATGCTTTGTTGGCCATCCTTTTTTCTGTTTGAAATCTGTGACAGTTCAAGACATTGAAGATCTTTTCTTGAATTCTCTGTCTGATGAACTAATTCCACTTTTTGTGTGTTCATGACATTAAACATTTGCTGACACTGAATGGTGTCCATGCTTCACTATGAAAACACACTGAGTAAGGTCACTTATATGATTAGCAGGACAAGGGTAAAACCGCTCCTTGTTAGCTTTCTCTTAGTTCCTTAATAAAAGTTGCTTTCAGCAGATTTCTGAATAGCTCTTAAGAGATAACTCTTTTAGCACCAGAACTCCTTGTGGTTAAATCACATCCTTTGTCAGTGTGGCCTCTGTTCTGTTAGCAGATCTTTTTTTATTTTTCTTACTATCTCCCGACTCAGAAATCCATTAATATTTCCTACAGCACGATTTGAAACAGATCTAAAGCTGCCTATGGTCCTCCGTTCACGTGCATGGATGGTAAAAGGTAGATTACTGTGTAAAATTTTAATTTACACTGCGAGCGCTACAATAGCGTCCTTTTAAAATCCTTCACTTGGCCTTGACTCGACAGTTCAAGATTCATCGGCTTTTTGAGAGAGAATGAAGAGCTGTGCTGTGCTCTCGCTGTGTCTTCCAGTACTTCCCTGAGAAACACTTCATTTAAACCAAAGCCACATTCAGAAAAACCTCAAAAACACTGGCAGCATAGAGGACAGCTAAAAGCGCTAGTTAGACTCCAGCAGCAACAGAAACCAAGTGACTCACAAAAACAGGTAACTAATGAGGAGAACAGGAGCAGACTCTGTAGTACTGTGTAGCAAAAGGGACAAAAATAATACTACTGAGAGGCTCGGGGAGAGTATATTCCTGCTGAAACTACCTCCTGATCTGACCAATGAGCGGTCGGCACCAGCAGTGGGAAACAAAGAACACACTACTCCTTCGCCATGGCTCTAACCCCCTGGATAAGCTACTGACTTGGCATGCCTTTAGCGTGTCAGCTAATTGTTTTTGTGACTAACTCGTCATCTTCTTGTTTGTATTCTCTTGGCAGAATAAAGCCTTGTGCAGCTTTAACTCCTCAGTAGTATTACTTTTGTCCCTTTTGCTGAGCTGTGCTGTAGAGCTGATAAACACTGTTTAGTCTATAAACAGTGAAAAGGTAGCCAATAAATTATCCTTAAGCCCAAATGCTGTCTAATCAGATCTGACAAAAAGAAACAACACAGGATTTTGTTATTTTTTGCTGTTTGCTTATTTTACTGATTATGATTAAATAATCACTGCAGATCTAATCTGTAGGAAAAGAGAGAAAACAGACTCAGTTTTCAAAGAGCTAAAATTACAAACAAATCATCCAAATAAAACCAGAACATTGGTCCTTTCCTCATACCTGAAATGACAAACTTAAGTATTTCCAGTTTAAAGTGCATGTTAGGAGACAGGTGGGTTAGATTGGTGCAGCAACACATTTTATTGTATTTTATTTTATGAAATGGTAAATGGCCTGCATTTGTATAGCGCTTTTCTAGTCCCTAAGGACCCCAAAGCGCTTTACACTACATTCAGTCATTCACCCATTCACACACACATTCACACACTGGCAATGGCAAGCTACATTGTAGCCACAGCTGCCCTGGGGCGCACTGACAGAGGCGAGGCTGCCGGACACTGGCGCCACCGGGCCCTCTGACCACCACCAGTAGGCAAACACGGGGTTAGTATCTTGCCCAAGGATATTTGGCATGCAGCGAGGAGGCAGCCTGGGATCGAACCACCAACCTTCTGATTAGTGGCTGACCTGCTCTGCCACCTGAGCTACAGCCACCCGAAAATGAAGTTTAATATAGTTCCATTACAGAATATGAAACTCATTTATTGCTCATTTCCAACCCTTATCCCTTGCTGGGCTTTTATGTCATCAATAGACAAACAAGAATTTGCTATTTAAATGCAATAAATAAAAATTTGATATGATGATGTGACATTTTACAGCTTTTCACTGTTCTCACTATAACTGTCTCATCTTTGGGTGTTTAATCTTTTTATACATTACACAAATTAGCGAAACTCTCAAAACAAAGTCAAATACTGATTTAATTATTGTTATTACAATTAGTTTAAATATGGTTCTGCTGTTCTGGGGATTTTCCCGTCTGAGTTGGCATGCTTGCTGTGTCCACCCTTGGGGGTGGAGCTCCTGGGATCGCACCTGTGGCATATCCACGACCAAACAGCAGGATGCTTCTT